CTTTTGTAAAATACAGAGGAGCTACAGCGTGTAATGTTTGCAACAGCAACTGACTGCATTTATGATAGGTACTTTAACTAAAAGAAACATTGCAATTAATAATAGAATTGGAACCATGATGTTATCATTTAATAAATATATCCAACGATGTGCTTCAATTGGAATTCATGTTTCTTTGGAGCTACCAGTTAGCAATGGAAGTTATTAGAAACAAGTATCCAAGGAAACTGAGTATAGAAGCAGAGTTTTAAGTGGCTTTATCACTAAATATTAACTTGTAATTATAAAAATGTACACAGGGCATAGCTTGTGGAACTGTTCAATCATATCATTTCTTAAACCATTATTAAAGTTATTTTTGAAATATTGCTTATTTTATACTTTTCTACTTTTGTATGTTTTGTAATATAATAAAAACAGGCAAAATAATTTCTTATGGACAGATTTCTAGATACATATGATCATCCAAAACTGAACCAAGAGGAAATTAATCACCTGAATAGTCCTATAACACAAAATGAAATTGAAGCAGCAATCAAGAGTCTCCCCAAAAAGAAAAGTCCAGGACCTGATGGATTCTCTGCTGAATTCTATCAGACCTTTAAAGAAGAACTGATACCAACCCTCCTTAAACTGTTCCATGAAATAGAAAGGAAGGAAAACTGCCAAACACATTTATGAAGCCAGTATTACACTTATCCCAAAACCAGGCAAAGACACCTCCAAAAAGGAGAACTATAGGCCAATCTCCTTATGAACATTGATGCAAAAATCCTCAACAAAATAAGGCAAATCGAATTCACAAACATCAAAAAGATTTTCACACGACCAAGTAGGCTTCATCCCAGGGATGCAGGGGTGGTTCAACATACGAAAATCAATAAACGTAATAAACCACATTAACAGAAGCAAAGACAAAAACACTTGATCATCTCAATAGATGCAGAAAAAGCCTTTGATAAGATCCAACATCATTTCATGATAAAAGCTCTAAGAAAACTAGGAATAGAAGGAAAGTTCCTCAACATTATAAAAGCTATATATGACAAACCTACAGCCAGCATTATACTTAATGGAGAAAAATGAAACCATTCCCTCTAAAAGGAACCAGACAAGGATGCCCACTATCTCCACTCCTATTCAACATAGTACTGGAATTCCTAGCCAGAGCAATTAGGCAAGAAGAAGGAATAAAAGGAATACAAATAGGTAAAGAAACTGTCAAAATATCCCTATTTGCAGACGACATGATCCTATACCTTAAAGACCCAAAAAACTCTCAGAAGCTTCTAGACATCATCAATAGCTATAGCAAGGTAGCAGGATATAAAATCAACATAGAAAAATCATTAGCATTTCTATACACTAACAATGAGCAAACGAAAAAGAATATGAAAACAATTCCATTTACAATAGCCTCAAAAAAAATCAAATACCTAGGTGTAAACCTAACAAAAGATGTGAAAGACCTCTACAAGGAAAACTATACACTTCTGAAGAAAGAGATTGAGGAAGACTATAGAAAGTGGAGAGATCTCCCATGCTCATGGATTGGTAGAATCAACATAGTAAAAATGTCGATACTCCCAAAAGTAATCTACATGTTTAATGCAATTCCATCAAAATTCAATGACATTCATTAAAGAGATTGAAAAATCTACTGTTAAATTTATATGGAAACACAAGAGGCCACGAATAGCCAAGGCAATACTCAGTCAAAAGAACAATGCAGGAGGTATCACAATACCTGACTTCAAACTATATTACAAAGCAATAACAATAAAAACAGCATGGTACTGGCACAAAAACAGACATGAAGACCAGTGGAACAGAATAGAGGACCCAGATATGAAGCCACACAACTATAACAACTTATCTTTGACAAAGGAGCTAAAAATATACGATGGAGAAATAGCAGCCTCTTCAACAAAAACTGCTGGGAAAACTGGTTAGCAGTCTGCAAAAAACTGAAACTAGATCCATGTATATCACCCTATACCAAGATTAACTCAAAATGGATCAAGGATCTTAATATCAGACCCAAACTCTTAAGTTGATACAAAAAGAGTAGGAAATACTCTGGAGTTAGTAGGTATAGGTAAGAACTTTCTCAATGAAACCCCAGCAGCACAGCAACTAAGAGATAGCATAGATAAATGGGACCTCATAAAACTAAAAGCTTCTGTTCATCAAAAGAAATGGTCTCTAAACTGAAGAGAACACCCACAGAGTGGGAGAAAATATTTGCCAAATCATCAGACAAAGGACTGATAACCAGAATATACAGGGAACTTAAAAAATAAATTCTCCCAAAACTAATGAACCAATAAAGAAATGGGCAAGTGAACTAAACAGAACTTTCTCAAAAGAAGAAATTCAAATGGCCAAAAACACATGAAAAAATGCTCACCATCTCTAGCAATAAAGGAAATGCAAATTAAAACCACACTAAGATTCCACCTCACCCTGTTAGAATAGCCATCATCAGCAACACCACCAACAACAGGTGTTGGCGAGGATGCGGGGAAAAAGGAACCCTCTTACACTGTTGGTGGGAATGTAGACTAGTACAACCACTCTGGAAAAAAATTTGGAGGCTACTTAAAAAGCTGGACATCGATCTACCATTTGATCCAGCAATACCACTCTTGGGGATATACCCAAAAGACTGTTACTCCAGAGGCACCTGCACATCCATGTTTATTGCAGCACTATTCACAATAGCCAAGTTATGGAAACAGCCAAGATGCCCACCACTGACGAATGGATTAAGAAAATGTGGTATCTATACACAATGGAATTTTATGCAGCCATGAAGAAGAACGAAATGTTATCATTCGCTGGTAAATGGATGGAATTGGAGAACATCATTCTGAGTGAGGTTAGCCTGGCTCAAAAGACCAAAAATCGTATGTTCTCCCTCATATGTGGACATTAGATCAAGGGCAACACAACAAGGGGATTGGACTATGAGCACATGATAAAGCGAGAGCACACAAGGGAGGTGAGGATAGGTAAGACACCTAAAAAACTAGCTAGCATTTGTTGCCCTTAATGCAGAGAAACTAAAGCAGATACCTTAAAGCAACTGAGGCCAATAGGAAAAGGGGACCAGGAACTAGAGAAAAGGTTAGATCAAAAAGAATTAACCTAGAAGGTAACACCCACGCACAGGAAATCAATGTGAGTCAATGCCCTGTATAGCTATCCTTATCTCAACCAGCAAAACCCCTTGTTCCTTCCTATTATTGCTTATACTCTCTCTACAACAAAATTAGAGATAAGGGCAAAATAGTTTCTGCGGGGTATTGAGGGGGGAGCGGGAGGGGGTGGAGTGGGTGGTAAGGGAGGGGGTGGGGGCAGGGGGGAGAAATGAACCAAGCCTTGTATGCACATATGAGTAATAAAAGAAAAATGAAAAAAAAAAAAGTAATTCTTACATGTAAATTAGAAAATTGGAAATTAGAAAGTTAGAAATGACTTGCTCAAATGTTTTTCTTTTTGCAAATAGAATTACAAGATAAAAATGTTTGGAGGTCAATGTTTCAGATAATCAAGTAGCAGAGATTAAATGGGTAAGGGTGCAAAGGAGAAACAGCAAAAACTCAAGGTAGAAAAAGAGATCAGAAATGAAAATGCACAATAGGTTTAAAAAAAGGCAAACATTTTCATTTTTAAATATTTGCACCAGTTAATACATACACACATAATTCCTTAAAGAGTTTTCAGTCTTTCAACTTCAGACTACCTATATGATAATAAGCAGTGTTAAGATAGAAATATTGGGGCGGGGTGGGGGGGGGAAAGGGAGGGGATGGGGGGTAGGGGGAGAAATGGCCCAAACATTGTATGCATATATGAATAAATGAAAAAAAAAGAGATAGAAGTATAGGAGAAGTATGTGAGGGCATTTCTTGATGATCCTGTATTATAGAACTCAAACTCCAGAGAGCAAAAGGAAATGAGTATATGATTCTATGAAGGCCAGTCCCTAATAGTAAATTGAGTATTTTCCCAAAGAATGGTTTAATACAGCAACACCATGAGATACCAACAGTCTATAAAGTTCTTAACTTCATTTGGTAAATATTTCCTGAGTCTCACTATATGACTGACACTCTGCTACAGTCTTTTTTATTTTGTTTGTCTCCCAAATCACAGGAATTTCTCTAAAGCCTGAGGATCCTTTAGGTCCAGACTTTCAGCCTTAACATATTGACTCCTCAGTTCTTGATGTGCATGTTTATGATATGCTACTAGAATTGCAATACAATAAATTTCATCAGAGCATTCCCATATAGCAGGATGTCTCTGCCTTTTAAATTCCTAATTTAATATTAAACTTAATATTAAAATGAACTAAATTCACTTTATCAATTTTGTAACATCAAATATTTGCATATTCAGTTTACTCACAATAGAAGATTGGTTTGTAAATTTAGATTCTAAGTTACACTAGGAGATTAGAATAAATACAGCAAACTACAACATTCTTTGGAAATTATTTCACGTTGTACTGGTAAAGAAGTCCACAGATTCAGTTGCTCACAATTACAGAATAATTCTACTTGTTCTAGGAATTACAGACCATAGTACTGCGACATCACTTTCCTCCTGGTAGCATGTTCAATCAGGAGCTGATGGAATGGCAGAAACGTAATTTCACATAAATCCTTAAAGTGATCACATCTCAAATTAATGCCATTGAGGAACAAATTATACTTAGTAAAGGATAAAGATAATAGAACTAAAACATTTTATTGTTTCCAAAACTCCATCCCAGAGACAAGAACATTCTGCATTTAAAAATCCATTGAAAATCATTGGATTAATATATAAATCCATGTCTATGGCCAACTAATTTTCATCATTCCATTTTTCATTCCGTTTTGCTCCTCCAACCTCCTGCTTCAATTGGACAGGTAGGGTCTGGGTTTTCCTTGAAGAAAACAACCAGTCAAGGCAAAATATAACCTCACCAAAATTATGTAGGTACATACTTGGCACTGAAGTTCAATGTTACCATTTTTAATTTCATTATTCATCTTCAAGAGCCATTGTGGAATTGTGTTATATATATGTTCTTGGAGTGTCCTGAAGGAAAATAAAGATAGGTGACTTGGTTATAATATACAAGTAACTATCAGCTAAGAGAAAGGGTTTTATTTGACTGGACATATTAAACTTAGGTGTTGATAATTATTGAGAACCTAGACAGAGGTCAAAGTCTTAAATTATCTGGTGTGATAGTTTAGTTGTTGACATAACTTTCCTAACTCCTAGATAGGTGGTAACTGGCAGGACATACTTTGGACAATGTATGTTTTACCTTCAATATTAGCTATATACTGTATAAAGCATTACTTCCAGGCCAGTAGGGCTTCCTCATATAATGATGATGAGTTTTAAAATCTTTTTAGTGATTGACTTCCAGCATGATGGTGTGAGAAGCAAGAATTGGCCCACTCCCCAATTAAACTGATGAGTTTTTAAAATTAACCCATTCGAAGCCTTTTGGAAATGATGAAAAAGAAAAAGCAGAAAAAACATTCAAAGAAACAATAACTGGAAACTTTCCAAATGTCTTGAAAAACAATAACTAACACATTCAGGAAGCTTGGCAGTCTCCAAGTAGGATGACCAGAAAGAGATCCACAAACAAATGCATCAGAATGAAAGTGATCAAGGTCTCCAGGAGAGACAAGATGCTGGCCATAGAGCAAAGCACAGTTAATTTAAAGACCAGAATAATCAAAGTATAGATTCACACCAGAATGAAATGAAATTATAAATCAACAACTGGAAAAAGTGGTACACTCATAAACATGTGAAAATTAAATAACCCATTCCTAAATAGCAAATTGGTCAATGAATGAATCACAAGATAAATCATAAAATATTTCAAGATTAATGCAAAAGAATTTGCAACATACTAGAACTTATAAGATGTAACTAAAATAGTCCTTAAAGGGGAAATTATACCTGTAAATACCTATATTAAGAATAAAGTTCTCAAATCAATAACCTAACAGTTCACCTTAAGACTATGGAAAAGATTTAGTAAGATAAAACTTAAGAAAGTAAGAAGGAATTGTAATGACTAGAATAGAAATTAGTACCACAGAGAACAGAAAAACACTAGCAAAAATCAATGTAATCAAAATATGGTTCTTTGAAAAGATTAACATTTAGCTGACAAAGAAGGCTCAAAGATACTATAATCAGAAATAAGAAAAGGAACAATAGTATTGACCTTTCAGAAATAAAAGAATCAAAAGAAAACAACTCTACTCTAGTCACATAAAAAAAATGAGATACTTAGGAAAAATTTAACAAAAGAAGCCCACAACTTAGAAGATTACAAAACAACATGGAGAGAAATTAAAGCAGATAAAATAATTTCTTAATTCCACGTTCATTCATTGGAGGAGTACATTTTTCAGATGGCAATACTCTCATTCTGATGTACATTTTCAATAAAACTTTTTTCAGAAGCCCAATCAACATCATCATAAAAATTAATAAACTTATTCTAAAATCCATCTGGAACTGCAAAAACAAAATAGAATAGCCAAAAATAATCCTGAAAAAGAAAAGTCAAGTAGAGAATTCACACTTCCCAATTTCAAAGCTTACTACTAAGCAATAGTGATTGAGACAGCATGGTACTGGCCCAGAGTGAATATACAGATCAATGGGATAGAGTTGGTGGTTTGGAAATAAATCCATGTCTATAGCCAACCAATTTTCATCAAAGATGCCAATATGAATGAATGGAGAAAGAATCATCTATAACAACTGGGTATCATATACAAAAGAATGTAGTTGGACTCTTACTTCACACCATATGGAAACCGTCAGACCTTGATTTAAGAGTGACTGATACAAAGCTCTTAGAAGAAAACCTAGGGGTAAATCTTTATAACCATAGATTTGGTAAAGGATTCTTAGGTATGACACCAAAAGCACAAGTAAGAACAACAAAGAAGGGAGAGAAGAAGAGAAGGGAGGGAGGGGAAAAAGAAAGATAGAAGGAGAGACAGGAAGAAAGGAAAGGAGAAAGGGAGGGAGAGAAGAAGGGAAGGGAAGAAGAAAGGGAGAGAGAAAGAAAAGAAAAAGATTAGACTTCACCAAAATTATCTTGTGTACTTCTAGAGAACATTAAGAAAGTAAAAAGCCTACAAAATGGGAGGAAATGTTTGCAATTCATGTATCTGAAAATGAACTTGTATTCAGAATATATAACTCACTCTTATGACTCAATAATAAATAGGCAAATGACCTAATTAAAATAAGGGCAAAGCATCTGAACAGACAATTCTCCCAAAGAAAACAGTACTTCACATCATTAGTCATCAGGGAAATATAAATCAAAACCACAATGAGATGCTGTTTATTCCCACTACTATGGCTAGAATAAAAAAGTCAGATAACAAATGTTGGTGAGTATGTGGAGAAGTTTAGACTGTCACACACCATACACTGTCGAGAATGTAAAATGGTACACGTGTTCCATAATTGCTTAGGAAAAGTCTAGGCAGTGCCTCAAATTATTAAAGATAGAACTGTCATATGACCCAGCAATTCCACTCGTAGGTATATACACAAAAGAAATGAAAGCACTTATCTGTCCACAAAAAACTTGTATGTGAATCTTTATAGCAACTTTAATCAGGAAAGTCAAAATGATGGAAACAAAACAACCCAACAGACAAATATGGTGCATCCTTATATGAGATATTGTTATGTCACAAAAATAAATGGAGAACTGGAGGAGTGGCTCAAGTGATAGAGTGCCTGCAAATAAATGGAGAACTGGAGGAGTGGCTCAAGTGATAGAGTGCCTGCCTAGCAAGCATAAGGCCCTGAGTTCAAACCCCAGTACCACCAAAAAAAAAACAAAACAAAAACACAATTTACATGTGACAAAAATGAATGGAATATTGAACCATGTCACAACATGGTGAACCTTGAAACAGTATACTAAGTGAAAAAAAAAAAACTAGTCACAAAAAACCACATAGTAACATGATTCCTTTCATATGAAATTTCCATGATAGGAAATCAACAAGGATGGAATGTATACTGGTGATTGCTTAGACTGGGATTGGGGAGAGGATGAAGGATAGACAGGTGCTGTGGCTTGGATGTGGTTTGTCCCCCAAGGGTTCATGTGTTGGAAGCTTGGTTCTCCATATGGCAGTGTTGAGGTCATGGAACCTTTAAGAAATGGGGCTAGGAAGAGGTAATTAGGTCACTGTGCATGCTGTCACCAAAAGGAATCAATATAGTTATCATGTATACAGGTTGGTTCCTATACGAGGGAGTTGCTAGAAAAGAACAAGCCAGACCCCACAGGCTTCCTATCTTGTCATATAAGCCGTCTCTCTCACATGCACTCCTACCACGATGCCATGAGCGCTTGCCAGAGTCAGCACTATGTTGTTTAAACTTTCAGTCTCCCAAACTGTGAGCAAAATAAACCTCTTTTCTTTATAAGATACCAGGCCTTTGGTATTTTGTTATAGCAACAAAAAGTGGACTAATACACACGGTAATAGCTAAAGTATTCAAAACTTCTTTCTGAGATGACAAAATATTCTAAAGTTGACTACAGTTGCCCATATCTATGAGTCTACTGAAATCACTGAATTGTGTATTTTATAAGGGTGATATGTAGTATGGGTTAATTATTTTGTAACAAAACTTTTAAAAAACATTCTCTCAAAAGGAAAGAGAGCTATGGGAACTTACAAGCCAGAATCCATGTCCACGCCTTGTGGGATAGTATCAATAAGGTTTATTAATGCATCCAACTGAGATTTCATTTCATTAACTTTTTCACTAATTTCCTCCCATTCTTCTAAATAGATATTAGAAAATTCTATGTTTTCCAACTTGTAATAACAGAAGTCAAGAGAATTAAGCAAATTTGGAAGAACTTTAGAGATACCTAGAACAGTGAGAAAAAGCATTAGCTACTATAAGTATTTGTAAGACTGTAATGGGAACAGACACTTAAATATGCCCACCACTGGAGGTTTAGCCCAATAACTAACTCGCTTTATGAGCCAGTCTGCTTTTAATTACACAAGCTTTAAACAAGTAAAAAAGCTGGGTGCCAATGGCTCACACCTGCCATCCTAGCTACTCAGGAGGCAGCGAGTAGGAGGACCGTGGTTCGAAGCCAGCCTGGGCAAACAGTTCATGAGACCCTATCTAAAAAATATCCAACACAAAACAGGGCTACTGGAGTGGCTCAAGTGTTAGAGCACCTGCCTGGCAAACGTGAGGCCCTAAGTTCAAATCCCAGTACTGCCTGCCTCCCAACAAGGATTTAAACAGAGACTGTTTTTTCTTTTGTCTTTTCTCCCCTCCACAACCACCCCATGTGAAGGAACTAAAGAATGGTTTTCAGCTCCAGACAAGGTCATCACTCTCCTCTCCTCATCTTGCTGACCATGGGAGTGAAGGAACATTCAGGATAACCAGACATACAGCTCTGGAGACTAATGCCAGCACATCAAAAAATAACCAGACTCAAGGTCACCCTCTGACCCAGAGTCATGCCTCTCAGCAGGTACATCTGCACTTTCCCTTATAAACCCATTCTCTACCTCCTGGCAGGGAGGATGGCAGATTTATCCGCCTCATTCTTCCTGGAAATACAGACCTTTACTTCCTTTTCTCCAAATATCTACTCTCATTATCTGTGAATTGGCATAGAGCTCAGGGGACCAAATTTTTTATATCAAGACTAATACTTTGGGACTGGGTACAGTGGCTCACATCTATAATCTCAGCTACTTGGGAGGCAGAAATTGGGAGGATCACAGTTTGAGGCCAGCCCTGGGCAAAAATTTAGTGAGATCCCATTTCTATCAATAAGCTAGATATGGTGATGCATGCTTGTGATTCCAGCAATAAGGGAGACATAAAAAGGAGGACTGCAGTCCAGACTGGCTTGGGCAAAAATGTGAGACCCTATCCAAAAAATAAAGTAAAAAGGGCTGGAGTGTGACTCAAGTGTTAGAGCATCTGCCTAACCAGCATGAGGCCCCAAGTTCAAACCCTAAAACAAGAAAAGACTACTACTTCAACACTAAATTATAAAACCCAGCTGGGCAAGGGCATATATTTTTTTCATCTTTCTATTCTCCTACAGCTTACCTAGCAAGACCCTTGAAAAGAATCACTCCAATAATTAATACACCACTAACTCTTGAATAAAGACTATGCAAATGTGTGATTTTATGACTAGTGATATTTCTATGATGAGTTCATTCTCCAACTCAGCTTATTTTCTCAGCTGAGAATCAAGTGCATTAATCCCAAAAGGATCAACTGTAGTTTTCTGACACAGACACTAATTTAATCAATCACTCTGTTAAGATAACAATGATGATCAATGGCTTCTTCATGGGATGGCTAAAAACAGAAATGAAAATAGATATTGTTCTGTGACTGATCAGGTTTTCCTGATGTTTATAGTTTTCCTGGTGGAGTTTGGATCCTAATGTTGACCCAGCAGACTGATTCACTGTGAGATTTGTCTTATTGCATTTTCAAACTAAGAAATGAAAATACTCTCTTCTCAAGAGTTACAAAAAGAAAAATAATTTTAAAGCCAACTGTTGTTCTTGTCCTTGCAAAAATATTATCATTATATTTGTCACAAAAGTTTAGCCAGGCGCCAGTGGCTCATGTCTGTAATCCTAGATACTTGGGAGGCTAAGATTGGGAGGACTGTGGTTCAAGGCCAGCCAGGCAAATAGTTCATGAGACCCCCACCTCAACCAACTGCTGGGAGCAGTGACACATGCCTGTCATCCAAGCTAAGCAGGAGGTTAAGATCCAGAGGACTGCATGCCAGGCTAACCACAGGCAAGAAAAGTTCATTAGACCCCACCTCAAAGGAAAAAGTTGGGTGTCATCCCTGCTACAGCAGGAAGCATAAAGAAGGAGGATCACAGACCAAGCTGGCATGGGCAAAAAGTGAAACCCTATCTCAAAAACAAAAACAAAAAACAGGAAAAGTCTGGAGGTGTGGCTTAAGCTATGGAGCACTTGCCTCACAAATCCAAAGTTCTGAGTTCAAACTCTAGTACCAAGCCCTGAGTTCAAACCCCAATACTACCAAAAAAAAAGAGGAAAAATAAACCTTGATCAGCAAACAGCAGTATTAAAAATGACCTGTTAATTTCATCATTATTCATTGTTTCAATTTCTTCATCTATTTTAAACCATTTTCTACCTCATTCTTTCCCACTATGTACTCTCATGGGAAGGCATTGCCATTTTAACCTAAAACTACATTATTGTTGCTGCAGATAATGATGATTGTGTTTTCCCATGGAATTTTATGTTGAACAACAGTGCTGTCAGTGGTTACCTGAAATTCTTTACCAGGAGGGATTCTTAAAGAACACATAACTGTGAATAAAAATGCTTTGGGGGAGTTTTATATCTCTCACGGCCAGCTCTGGGATATTAAATCACTCTACTGGGGCTGGAGGAATAAAATTGACGGTCAGAAATTTGCTGAGGGATAGAAGCCCTGATAAACACACTAGGTTTCACTTGGGCCTCTGAATCCCTGAAAACAATGCACCTTAAGGAAAAGGGTGGAACAGAAACAGACTAGTTCTCACAAAGCCTAAAGCCAGACTTCATATTTCAACTCAGTCCCCCCAAGCTTCAGTTTAGGTGATCTTCCCCTACCCTAAATGACCTGCTAGAAGACAAAGTAAAAAAAAAAATCCTTCCGAAGTTTTGAGTTATTTCTAGAACTTTTCAGACACAATGTTCAACATTTAATTGGAATAAGGCATATAAAAAGAACTGACTGAAAAACATGACAATATATAGACAACTTCTAAAAACCTATAGGAGAATCAATTATCAGACATGGTCTTTACAATTAACTGTGGTTAAAAATTTGAAATTTTTAAGGCCAGGGATCTGGCTCAGTGGTGGAGCACTTTGCCTAGAATGCCATGAGGCCCTCACTTGGGTTATTTGCACCATTAAAAAAAAAAAGGTTGAAATTGTTAATTTTATTGAAATTATTATATTATATTAATTTTTATCCAAGACCTCTCTCACACATTGCTAACATGTCTGCTGAATCAACATCCACTTAATTATACCATAACTACTTCACAGTCAGTATGTCTAAAACTGAATATATAATCTCCCTCTTCCAATTTTTTCCTCCTCCTGTATTCCCTAATCTCAATTATTTGAATGCCACATGGTCACACTACAGCACTCTTCTTTCTCTCATGTATTCTCCAGATCATCAAATTTGCATAGCCTATACTTTTCAAAATCTCTCTTTATTGTTTTCTTCCTCTCCTGCTCTATGTCTTAGGCTAGGACCTTGTCATTTTTCAACTAGATCCCTACAATAGGTCTCTTCATGTTTTCAAAATACCATTCCTCAGTAAATGTCCCTCTCTGCTGTCAGAGTGATTGTTCTAAAATTCAAACTAGTTCACTGCCTCAAAAGTTCTGTGCTCTTAGGCTTAGTAGAGAAAGCCTATCCACTTCCACATAACTGTATCACCATCACCCACACACTGCTCAACAATCTAGGACTCCATTTCTGCATATTATTCAGATGTTCTCTTTGTCTCTAATATTCCTCTCCACCTTTGCCATGTAGCAAACTTATACTTTCCACTTTTAGATATTAATTCATGATATACTTATAGCTATTAATTATATTCAAAATAATCACTGTTAAAATGCTTTGTAATGACAAGAAATTTAATTATCTTTTTCTTACCGTTGTCTCCATTTATCCTTATTTCATATTCTTTGTAGAGTCTGCCTATGGTTTTCAACAGTTCTTCCATGTATTGTCGCTCTGGTGGCATGTTCCCCTCCATATTTTTATGGCGATTAAATACCCCAAACCCAACATCTGCCCAGCTTTCCTGCAAATGCTTAATAATCTTGAGAGAATCATATCTGGACACTAGAGTATCCCCAGTAAACTTTTCTGACTTCTCCTTCAGCATCTGGAAAGTGAAGGGGGTGGGAGTAACATGTTATTCATCAAAGATCCTTACTCCCCAGTGACACCCAATCATTTTGGTGTTGGATAGCCTATTATTGTTGTTCATAGCCATTGTTCTTATAAGAATTTGAGGGTTAGAGAGACCCAGTGTCAACTTCTCAGTCTACCAGATACTACTGGTAGATAAGCAACCTGACATCCCTAAGCTTCTGATTTCTGCCAGAGTGAGGTGGGGACCGTAAGACCTATATAATGTAGCTGTCAAAAAGAGTAAGAAAAGGCCAGGCACTAATGGCTTATCCCTGTAATCCTAGCTACTCAGGAGGGCAGAGATCAGGAGAACTGATGAGATTTGAAGCCAGTCCAGGAAAATAGTTTGTGAGACCCTATCTCAAAAATGATCAAAACAAAAAAGGGCTGGTGGAGTAGCTCAAGTGGTAGAGCACCTGCCTAGTAAACATGAGGCCTTGAATTCAAAACCCAGTATTGACCAAAAAAAAGAGTAAGAAAGAAAAGGTATGGGAAGCATTTTCAGCCTAACAAAGAATAAAGTAAATGAGAATTACTTTGATTCCCAATTAATAAAGAAGCACTGTTTTTTTCAGCTTCATCTATACATGTCAAGACTGCCATATAAATAGTAAAAATAATTTACTGAAGTAGATATATTGTATGAAGGGCAGAAAACTTCTTCAATTCTGAGATTGTTATGATCAAATCATTCCAGGAGAAAAGAAAGTGGTTTCTGGGGCTCTGGATGAGATTTCATTAGTTCATGAATTTGATATTCACTTTTGAATTATTTTGATGTCATGGAATATAATTTTCTTTTGTCAGATTTCTATTGCATGATAGCAATTTAATTAATGAAACTTGTTTTCAAAGTTTGAACCCTTTTAAAAAAGATGCTATTCATGGTAAACAAAATCTGGCATACATATAAATGTGGCACATATATGCACACAATGGAATATTGTTCAACCTTAAAAAGGAAGCAAATCCTGACACATGGATGTACTTTGAGGACATACTGCTGAGCGAAATAAACGAGTCATAACATGACAGATGCTGTATTAGTCTACTTAGATGAGGTGGCTAATATAGCCAATTTTTACATGCAGAAAGTAGGATGATGATTGCTAGGGGTTGAGGGAAGGCAAAACTGGGAGCCATTGGTTAGAGCCTCAGTCTGAGAAGATGAAAGACTCTAGAGACAGATAGTGGTGATGGTTGCACGTGAATTCACTTTTTTGCCACTGACTTAAAATGGTAAGTTTTATGTTAGGTATAATTTTGCCATAATTTAAAACTTGTTAATTTTCTGGTGAGGCACAGACTTATTATCTGGCAACTACATGAGAGAGACAGAACCATACTCCCTGCTACACAAGCATCTTCCTCCCCCCACACACTTCTCTCTCTCTCTTTTTTTCTGGCAGCCTAAGTTTATTTTACCCCAAAATCTGAAATAGACTTGAAAATATTTAAATGTATTTTTAAAGGCCCCTGTGGAGCTAGTGGAGTGGCTTAAATGGTAGCACACCTACCTAGCAAGTGTGAGGCCCTGAGTTCAAGGGCAAGGGTCCCTGTAGCCTTGCTGTTTCCTTTCTCTTTCATCAAACTTTGTAGGGTACTGGTGAGGGGTGCAGTACTAGCATTTAAACTCAGAACCCTGCACTTGCTAGGCAGGCACTCTACCACTTGAGCCACATTCCCAGCCCTTATATAGCAGTTTAAAAGCATAAGATGTGACTCAGCTGTAGGTGAGGAGGGTCAAGTTTACTACCAGCACTTTCATTACCAAGTTCTTTATTAAAGAGTCTTACCCTGTGCCACTGCTTGAAGCTTGAAGGAGTTACCTGAAACACATCTCCCTTTTTGAGGGATAATACACCTTGTCCACTGAAAAAAGAAAAAAGAGCAAGAGAAAGGTCTCAGAACCAGGTATAAACAAAGAAAATCATAAATTCATGCACTAAATAACAATATTATATTTCCCCAACCAGGTATAGGCCCCTCCCCATAGGCATTCATCTTTTATATTTACAGCATAAATATAGATTCTAATTGTAATCAACCAAGGGCCGGGGGCTATGATAGTATCTCTGTGAGGGTGGGGGGCTCTCACATTGGAAATTCAAAACTAGGACTCTATGAGAATTCCTGTTGCAAAACACTGAAAAGTGCTAAACAACACAAGATGGGGGGAAGGGTGAGGAAGTGCAGTAGAGTGGGGCTATGTTGACTTAAGCACAATGCATGTGCAGGTATAATAATACCAAGGCAAAAATCCCAGTGAACAACAGACAGACACTTAAACAACGAAGGACAAGAATTAAAAACAGGTCACATTAAAGAGAGGGCACTAATGGGGGGAGGGTGGTTAAAGAAGGAAGTAAAGAAAGTCAGTATGGTTGATATACTTTCTACATAAGAATGAATATAGAATGTCTAAACCTGTTGAAATCACCATAAAAAGGGGATGAAGGTAGAAAGGAGAAAAATGGAACGTGCAACCCTCCCGTCCCCAGATTTCTGTTTGATGTCTGTATGTCAGTGTGTGTCTTATTTCTCATTCCCCGCTGCTCTTAGTCAGGTTCACACAGCACACCCACGCAGGTTGCAGGCAATGAACCAATTCAGAATATAATACACATATACACGAAAATGTCATAATGAAACTCCCTGTATAGCTATTTTAAACAAACAAAAACATCTTTTTTTCAAAATCAGACAACAGGAAAGCAAAACTGGTCCTGTCTGGGGGTTGGTACCAGTGGGAGGAGTTAGGATAGAAGGAAAGGGTATAGGAGGGTGAATATTGTGGAAATATTATGTACTCATGCATGAAATGGAAAAAATGAGACCTGTTGAAACTATTCTAAGAATAGGGGAAGGGGAATAAAGGAGAACGATGGAGAGAGTGTATTTAACTGATATATTGTAAGCATTTTTGTACATGTCACAATGTACTCCCAGTACATTAATATGATAATAAATATATAAATTTTTTAAAAAAGAATTCCTGTTGAATATAGCTGCCAGGATATATAAATACAACATATAAACGCAAAGGAAACCTACTGAGTAATGAAGACTCAAAATTAGGTCAGGAGTCCTAACTTTTTGAAAGTTTCTACTAAGTTTCACTAAAGTGTCACAGGAGAAAGCTCATTTTAAGAAAGTTGCTGAAGAGAAAGGAAGAAGAGAATGATGACCTCCAGTGCTCTACTCCCAGGTAACAGTGAGCAAACAACAGAAATGTGCCCATGACAGCAGCCTCCAGTTGAAGAGGCTTCACCTTCTAGAACTTCTACATCTACTAACTGGGAAACCTTATAGGATATCTGAAAACTAAAACCACTAGACTAAATCTGACATGGAAGTGGTATCTAGAATGTGTCCTTTTCACAAATAAAGCATCTTAAAATTTGAAAACACTTTAGAAATCATCTAGTACAGTCTGCACCCAAAGTAGAGGTTCCCACTCACATTGGCTGTGATTTCATCATCCCCCCTCAATTTAATTACTTTATCTCCAGACTTTTCCATGATCAAATTAATCACTACAAAGCATGCTAGTCAATCAAAATCCATCTCTCTGTAACTGTCACCCAATGATTCCACTTTGCTGCCCTGCACTGTGCTACAGAATTTGCAGATGGATTCAGGTATTCATTTGTCAGAAGAAATGACATAAGTTGACTTTGTTTTAAGGAGAAAAGAAAAAGAAAAAGAGTTGGACTTCAATGAAGACAGCAGCGGAAGTCATCAGGGAATCAAGAGGGACTACAAAGATAATTAGCACTAGAAACCACCAGAGTTCAAAGTCCTTAACAGTGCTGATTATCTCCCAATAACAACGTTAGAGGAGAGGGAGAGAGAGAAAGGGAGAGGGAGAAAGAGAAAGAGAGAGGAAGAGAAAGACACACACAGAGAATTGGACTGAGTTATTTGACATGAAATAGTATAACCAGCAAACCAAGATTCTTGGAAGAGCTGCTGCCATTTGAGAAGTCCGTCCCTAGTGACTTGCGCTTTCTCCTTTGTGGACACCTCAGTGCATTCCACCTCCTGTTTAAATTTGTCCAGAGAGAGCTTCCATTTCTCTGTCAACCTCTGCAACATTGCAAGGTCTGCAGTGTCCTAAAATGCGTAAGATCAACTTAGTCATTTATTTCTTAAGAAGTATTTATTAACACATGCAAGGCCATTATTAATACCAGAGCTATTCCTTTTTCAAAATATCATCAGTGACTTGTTTGGGGATGAATTTTCCGTGGCACATAAAGTGTTGGGGACAAGACCTTTTCCTTGCAACATGAACCCAATTTTCCTGCAGGGCAGTGTGGTACACTGAAAAGAATAGGAACCATGAAGCCAGACAGAACCAAATGTGAACCCAAGGCATCTGCTGGCTGCATAACCTCAGGGGACATTATTTAATCTATCCGCAGAAGACCCTAATACATTTCTCACAGGCTAGTTTAAAGAGCGAAATGAAATGACTAGGGAAAATGGCTCTACTGAGTAAAAACACACCAAGTGCCAGTTCCTCTTTTCCTCCCTAGGGTACTCACAGAATTTTCTCATTAAATTGCATAATAATGCAACTATTTCAATAAACACAGCTATTTACTGTTTTTTGTTTTGTTTTGAGACAGGGTCTTGCTAAGTAACCTAGGCTGACCTGAACTCATTTTGGGTTTTTTGTTTTTTATATGTTATTAGTATATAATAGTGTACAGGGAGTTTAGTTGTGACATTTCCATACTGGTTTGGTTCTTCCCCTCCATTATTCTCCCTCTTCACCCTCCCTTTTCTTACAATGACTTTGACAGGTTTCAATGTTCTATATTCATTCACTTATAGAAAATACATCAACCACATTCACCTTCTTTTACCCTCTTCATTTACCCTTCCCCTCCTGCCTGTTTTACATTCCTGTCCTTCACTGTTTAAGTGTCTGTTCATTGTTCAGTGGGGTTTTGCCTTGCTAGAACTCACTTTGTAGCCTAAGCTGGCCTGGAACTTGTGATCCTCCTGCCTCAGTCTCTCAAGCACTGGGACTTATAGGCATTAGACCGCTATGCCTGGCCATAACGCTTTTTATTGTAGTTTAAGAACCAATAAATAGTAGACTGTGAATAAATTTGTGGTGTTATTAAACTTAGATAAACTGATTTAGGTACAATGGAAGACAAATATAAGGAAGTAAGAGACTTTATTTACCTTTCTGTATATTTTTCACTCTGCTCACAATAAAGCAAAAATGTAAACCTATATTTAAAAATTTGTAAGTTTCGCAAACAAATACTCTGGTCTCAGCCCTCAGCACTTGCATCTTTTCTCCTGAAACTAAAGTGAACGGAGGTTTACCTTAGTTGTCAGCATTATGATGAAGTGCTTGGCATATTTACTCCAGGCTTTTTCATTGAGGTAGAGTCTTTTAGCCAATATGACTCTATTTCTTACAATTACCTATGAAAATAATAAACTATGATTAGGAGCAAACCCCTGTGACTGACGTATCACTGTGATTTCACATATCAATTTTTCATTGACTCATTATCTCAATCAAAATTTCTTGTTTAAATCATTATGTAACTGAAATCATAAATTCATATTTCCTAAACTATTGAGCTGGAACTAAATTAAACTATAGTACATCACTGTCTTAAATAGTTTGTGATCTCAAGACCCATTTACTCTAGTAAAAAATTGAGAACTCTAAAGTGCTTTTATTTATATGGATTTTATCTATTGATATTCGCTGCACTTGACATTAAGCTAAAATTATTTAAAATACGGTGTTATTTCACTTAAACAACATTAATAAGCCAATTATATGTTAACATAAATATTACTTTTATGAAAAATAACTACATTTTTCCAAAAACATGAGTGAAAAGAATGCCATTTTTATAAATGTCTTTATGGTCTACCTTAAAAGAACAGAGACAGATTCTCATATTTGCTTCTGCCTTCAATCTGTTGCAATAGCTTGTAGAAAAATCTGCATATTCATGAGTGAATGAGAGTGGAAATAGCAAATAACACCTCAGTGTTTTGATGAAACTAGTTTTGATATCCCAGAGCTCCTGAAAGGGTCTCATGGATCCCCAGAATTCCCTGAACTACACTTTGAGAACCACTGATATGTTGAATCAGCTGCACAGTCCTTTAGTGAATGACTATTCTAGACATTGGGAGAATAGCCATGAACAAAAGAGACAGAGTATTTTCAGAATGTTGACATTCTAGATAATATCCTTCTGATTGGAAGGTACCTTAGGGATGACTGACCTGGTCAATGCCAGGTCGTCTTCTACAGAAACATCTAGCAGGGGTCAGTGTTCTACTGTTTAAATACTTTCAGTGTGAGGGAATTCGGCTGCCTTTTTTCTTCTCTTATTGAATAGACATGCCTTGTTCAAATTTATTTCTTATATATTTACTGTCATGATTGTTTCCTCTGAATATGTGAATGGCCCATTTACAATTCTGCATTAGAATGGAACACTGAATCCTACATGATGTCTGACCATTGCAAAGTAATTGTCTTCTATTCTTTTTTCTTCTCATCTTGTAAGTGTCTAATATGATTTTAAGAACCATCTTGGCCCAGTGTGGTGGCTCACACCTGCAATTCCAGGTACTTGGGATGTGGTCATTGGAAAGGATCACAGTTTGAGGTCAGCCTGGGCAAAATTAGCAAGACCATATCTCAACCAATGAGCAGGGCATTATAGTGTTTGTCTTTAATCACAAAGACACTGGAGACATAAGTAGGAGGATTGCCTTTGGATGCTGGCCCTGGACAGAAACATGAGATCCTACCTAAAAAATAACTGAAGCAAAAAAGACTGAGGGTGTGGCTCAAGTGGTAGAGTACCTGCTTAGCAAGTGTGAGTCCCTGAGTTCAAACCTTAGTACTACACACACACACACACACACACACACCTTACGCAGTGGCTGTGCCTGTATAGTGAGTTAGCAGCAATTTCCTGCCACTGCCTCTTTTTTTCTACACGAACTCCTTTTTCACTGGGTCTCCCCTTTTAGGTGGCTTCTCTGAGTTTTGTTCGTCCCTAAAGACACTGTAGCATGGTAACTGTGAGGTCTGGCTCCACAGTCATGCTTGCTAGCTTCACCACTTAAAGACCGAACTTCCTCATCTGGAAAGTGTGGTTAGGACAAGTCCTGCTTCACGGGATTACTCTCAGAACTATGCTACTTACTCAAACACAGGTAACAACCAAATAAATGATATCTGATGCTCTTAATAATACCATAATCATGGTAGTTATTCACATTAATCATATTAATAAGCTCAATCTAGATGTGTATTCCTACTAATACTTCATTTGTCTGGATAAGCCCATCATTCTTTTTTTTTAAGCCCATATTCTTGATTGACAAAATGTTTGAATCTCTTAAGTTTTTAAGGGTAGGAACTTGGTCTTAATTATTTGTGTTTCACCAAACAGAACACAGTGTAATGTCTGACACATAGCAGGTACTCAAAGTTTGCTTTAAAACTGAATAGAGGAAGATGCAGATTAGAGACACCCAGCACTTTCCTGCATCTCCAGATCTGAAACAAAACATCAGGTATGAGGCTATAGGGAAAGTGCAACAATAAGTAGTAGACAGAGACCAGGTGAGACCCAGAAATATTGAACTTTAGATTTGCAAATGAAACAAAGAACCCTAACATGTGGCACTAGACACAGTGGAAGAGAAAGGGGAGAATCCTCTCAGTGGGGCTTTAAGCAAAACAGAAAAGGAAAGACATTGTGAGTTCCACAGGTCATAATCTGACCCTCTACAATGATACAATTTAATGTGAGAGCTCCATGATCTGGGGAGCAAGCTGGAGCAGGAGAAGGGGTCCTGACTGCCCAGTTTGCTCACTGGTGCCATGATGGGAAATCATATTGAGAGGTCTTACAGTCAAATCTTCTGGCTGAGGAGAGCAGAAGTCTCTTCCTTTTTTATATCTCTAAGCCCCAAAGGCCTCCCTCTCTCCACTAGCTAAGCAAGCAACCACCCAAAGAATCAGTGTGGGCCCAGCTGTGACTGAGGTGCAGATTCGCCAACATGGTGGAAGTGCAGGCCACCTTGCACAGGGAATCAAAAGGCACATAGAGCCAGGATCTGCAGATCACCCTATGGCAAAAGGAGCAAGCACAGCTGTGTGTGAATATGATCAGGGTCTCGAGGGGATGGGACAGAGACCAGCAAAGCCAGGGCACGGGGTTCATTTGGTGCAGACTGCTTTGGTCCAAATGCTTTCTCAGAGCCCTATCTGCAAATGGAAGTGGTGCTATGGCCTTTTCCACATCCATGCCACACTGGCAGAGCACCTCTGGTATGAGGGAGCATCCAACCAGGTTCCTCAGGCTCAGTTGGTGGAAGTAGCTTCAGGGCCTGCATTCAGAAAACACTGGCAGGAACTAAGCCTTATAGCAGTCCTAGTGCATGACTCAGGGAAGAAAGGTGAGGTGGGGCTCAGCCAGCAAACAACCCTTATTGGTTGGCATTCAGAGAGAAAATTAAACAATTGGCCCACTGGCCCTCCACACAAATAGACAGCAAAATAATATGCCTGGAAAAAAAAAACTAAGCATCACCATCATATCTCTATTAACTAGTCTTTTTTATTTACTTATTTTGATTGCTTTGTTTGCTCTGTTTGTTTCATTGGTATTCCCCTCACTATTCTTCGTTATACCTTCCTTCCATATATTTTTCTTCTCTTTCCAAGTATTTTGTTGCTTCTCTCTTTTTTCCTTTTCCTATCTCTGTCATTTAATTATTCTATTACTTTTACATTTACTAATTTTTAAATTCCTAGTCTATCCTATAAGTATCCTAGCTCCTTTCTTTTCTGTCTTTATTGAGTATATAACTGATTTTTCCAACTTTTTTGTTTACATTTAAATATCTGGTTTGATTTTGAATTGTGGTAGCTATTATTATTGCAGTCTGCTTCCTCTCCTCTGAGTGGTACTAGGATTGAGACTTCAAGAGATGGCTGCCCACTAAGAAGACCCCCATATAAAACTGGAAATGTTATCCATCCCAACAGATGCACAAATTTCAATGTAGGAACACAAGAATTGTGACCACAATTTTCAAGAACTCAGGGGCACCATCAAGAGATCAAACCTAGACTCCATGGGGTAAGAAGAAGGAACTGAAATAAGAGCTAAAGGCAAAGAGAACCTATTCAATGAAATTGTAGCAGAAAATTTCCCAAATCTAGGGAAAGATGTAGACATACAGGTACAAGGGGCATTTAGAACTTCAAACAGACATAAGTAGTCATTACATTTAAAATGCCAAGTCTGGGGCTGGCAAAGTGGCTCAAGTGGTAAAGCCTCTGTCTAGCAAGCATAAGACCTTAAGTAAACCCAAGTTCTGCCACAAAAATAAAAGCCAGGACTACAGAACAAAGAAAGAATATTGAAAGCTGTAAGAGAGAAGCACTAACTTCTTACAAAGGAAAATTCAGCAGAATTACAACAGAACCCTTAGCAGAAACACCCAAAGTCAAGAAAGCATGATCTGATATATTTTAAGCCCTGAGAGTAAGTAATTGCCAACCAAGGTTACTATTCCCAGCAAAGTTATCCTTTAAAATCAATGGAGAAATAAAGGCCTTCCAAGACAAGTACAAACTAAAGAAATTCAGGATGGCTAAGCCAGCACTGCAGAATATACTTAAAGGAGCACTAGACACAGATGAGGAAAAGATAGCCACATCATGAGAGCTCAGGGAAGAATAAATTTCATGAGATAAATAAATGAGAATTAGGAAAGAATCAAACATGTTCAACTTAGCAAACTAGTAACCCTTGAAGTTGAATAAGGAAGAAAGAAAATACTTGCATCAACCTGGGGGAAAAAACAACAAAATTACAGGAATTGCACATACCTCTCAACAATAACTCTAGATACAAATGGACTTAACTCTCCAATTAAAAGACACAGACTGAGCCAGGCATGATGACTCATGCCTGTAATCCTAAATACTTAGGAAGGCTGAGTTTAAAAGACTCCATCTCCAAAATAGGACCAGTAAGGTGCAATGGCTCACACCTGTAATCCTAGCTACTCAGGAGGTGGAGATTAGGAGGATCACAGCTCAAAACCAGCCAAGGCAAAAAGTCCACAAGACTCCATCTCAATAAGACCAAGTAAGCCAATTAATAAATGGGCAAATGAATTGAACAGGCAGTTCTCAAAAGAAGTACAAATAGCTAATGAATACATGAAGTAATGTTCAATATTCTTAGCCATAAAGAGAATGCAAATCAAAACTACACTGAGGTTACATCACCCCAGTCAGAATGGCTATCATCAACAAAAAGCAACAAATGCTGGTGAGGATTTGAGAGAAAAGGAACCCTCACACACTGTTGAAGGGAATGTAAACTAGTGCAGCCATTATTGAAATCTGAATGGAGGTTCCT